ATCAACCAACCTTTTTTTCCACATAAAAACATTAAAAAGACAATATTCATACTATTACTCATTTGCCTTTTGTCTTTCTCTTTCTGTAGTTTTCGTTTTACTTGAACTGGTAAACATTTCATTATAGCGTAGTACTAATGTATGCATGCGATGCACTTGTCCAGCATTTCTCATTTAAATATAAGACTTTGGGGAACATTTAAGAGCATGCTAAATTGATTCAAAATGTCATCCAGTCACCATTTGTCAAAGACTCGGTATGGAGAAGGAATTAAGTTAGATGCACAAGGAAGGGAAAAGGATGATGGGACGGAAGGGAATGGTGTCTGTCAGACGAGATGGGAAGAGTCACATGCATAAGTAACAAGAATGTCCAGTGAGCCGTTCTTAAGGTTGGAACTGGCTGTGTTGGTGATGGGGAGTCAGTGCAAGTCTTTAAGCAAATAGACACCATGGGGGCCATCGTGGTTATGGTAACAGTGTTCAAAATAACTTCGAGAAGGCAGGAGCGGAACTAAAAGGGCTGTTGTAAGATTAGAGCTAAGATCTAATTATAGGACCGAGAGGTGGTTTGCAAAGGGAGCAGAAAGAAGACGCCAGGTACAGACCTCTGGAAGTGGCCATGGAAAGGCTGAGCACTAAGTACGAGGGAAAGGAGGCAAATAAAACCAGCTCTATTTAGGGACAGTTTTGAAATCGAGAGTTCATTATAGATATGAAAGAGAAGGACTTTAAATTGTAAATACTTTGAGTGTGTGTAGGTATGAACATTTATTTCTTCTCATGATTCTTTAAAGTATAAACAATCAATAAATACACATTTATGAAATGATGAGGATGAAAGCTTGTTTATGAGGAATATAAGATAAGCAGAGCAGAAGATCATAAAGATCAATAAACAAAAAAAAATTCAATTCAGAAGAGAGTAAGACGCTTTTTAGGAGAGAAAAACCGAAACTTCTTTCTCTCTCTTTTTATTTTAACTTTTGAGCTTGTCTTTTGAAAATAAAATACAAAAAGAGTTGGAGAAAAAGAATGGCATTTAGCACAGAATTCTGTTCAAATTTAGCTTTTGGGACTTAACCTGTGCTATCTTAGTCAAGTTACTTAACCTATCCCCTAACCAAACTTTCATATCTATGTGAAATGTGGATGATAATAGTACCTATCTTGCAGTGTGTGTGTGAGAGAGAGAGCGAGAGGGAGGGAGGGAGGGAGAGAGAGAGAGACAGAGAGAGAGAGAGAGAGAATAACTTATTTTTAGAATGAGATAGTTAACTGAAAATACTTGTCTCAGAGCTGGGCACAAAATCGGTGCTCAACAAATGGTAGGTCCATGTTTCAGTCTCGGCAGTAATAGGTAACAGGATATTGGTGTGACTCTCTTTGGTATTGGAGATAGTTTTGATAACACCAGCTATATATTGGGCATTGGCTTTTATGTCGAAGAAGAGGACATTCCAGAGCACACAGTCACTTTTGAGGGCACTTAAAGGACACAAGAGGTAAAGCTTTTCTTGTTGGCCTTATTGTACAGTTTTGTTACAGGTTCATTTTTTTTTTTAATAATTATTTATTTTATTTTATTTTTATTCATTCATTCATTTTTTAATTTGACTAGAGAGAGACAGAGGGTGAGAGTGAGAGAGAGAGGAAGTGAGAAAGCAAGCCACCAGATTCAGGACTAGAAACCTAGTCGGCCATGTGTCCAGGGTCTTAACCACCTTGCCACCCGCTGGTCCCGGTTCATTGATTTTTGCTACAGTTATTTATTTATTTATTTATTTATTTATTTTCAGAGAGGTTTTTTGCTCTAGGACTTGTGCACTCACCTGTGAGACAGAGACAGAAAGCAAATAATCACTCTCCAGGGGCAATGGCCACACTACAATCGCCTCTCCTCCATTCTCATCTGGGAATTTGGGGTTTATAAACACCCGCCCATGGGTGAGGTTTTTTTTTTTTTTTTTTTTTTTGGTGAGTTTTTAACATGAGTATGCTCGCCAGACAGACAGAGACATAGAGACAGAAAGCGAGAAATCACCCCCCAGGGAGGATGGTCAAGCCGCAATCCCTTCTCCTCCATTCTCCTCTCGGGATCTTGGGCACGCATGCACAAGCGCCTGGCATGAGTTTTAAGGCACCGGGTCCGGGACGCGAACCGAGGTCGACTACGTGGGAGTCCAGCGACATAGCCATTACGCTAATTGCTGGTTCTCCCATGGGTGAGTTTTAAGCCTCCAACCACGGTGGAATGGGAATACAGTGAAGTAACCATTATGTCATCCACTGGTTCCGCTATGGTTAATTGTAATCCCAAGAGTGAAAGGGTTAAGAAATGCCCTTACTCATGTTACACGAAGTAGCAGGAATTATCAGATAGAAAAATAAATTAGGAAGGAAAAAAGAAAAAGCCTCTGCAGTAACTCATTGTTTCCTAACCAAGATGGTTTGTACTTAACGTTGACGGGCTGAGTGTATAATCTGGGAGTTCAATCAGATCTGAATAACCCGGGACTGGGGGCGACCAGTATCCTCAACCCCACCTCCTTTAACCGAAGCCTCCCAGACTGGAATTGCACCGAGTTGAAACAATACTTTGAGTCACAGCTTCTAATTGGAGAGCCAGGAAGTCCTTCATTGCAGAGACCCCGCCCCTCCCATGTGAATCGCCAGCCCCGGGGGAGGAGCTGGCCGATGCTAATGAGCAAAGTTGCCAGGCGAGGCAGGAACTTCATTCTCCTTCTCGGTGTCAGGATCTCAGAAAGTATGCCCCTTCTCTCACCATGAGCTGGCTGTCCAGTTCCCAGGGAGTTGTGCTAACTGCCTACCACCCCAGCGGCAAGGACCAGGCCGTAGGGGGGAGCCAGGCACAAGGGGGTGAGGAAGCCACCTCGAGGTAAGCCCTGGCATTTGAAAGCCGGAAAAACAAAACAAAAACCTTTTACCTGCTCCAGGAAAAAAAAGTGACAGGAAAGTTGGTGTCGGGAGAAGGGAATTAACATCGGCACTTGGAACCTGATCTCATGCAGCAGCAGAAATATTTGGCGTGGTCTGTATGTACTTTTTCATCTCCTCCAGGCCAAGTCAGAAATAGCCCATATGATTCCTGGTGCAGATGGACAAGGAGGGACTGGGGATGTGGCTGTGTGGCTATGGTGCTAGTTACTTAGCAGGTGCAATTGTGAATGCTGAAAGATCAAATGACTGTATCTAAAACACTTCCTATGAGATGAAATTCTTGAATGGGCTCAGGCACAGCCACTGGAACTGTTCACTGGGAAAGTCTGCCAAAACGCGAGGAAGCTGTTCACTGTACAAGCTGTTGTTGTTAGTGTGTGTGTGTGTTTTCCCTCTCCTCGCTGAAAGCAAACCTCTTAGGCAAAAAGCCCAAGACACTGGCCTGTGGCAGTATGTTTCGCATTCTTTTGTGTATGTGGGTTTTGCTTTTTTCTTGCCAGGCTTTCAAAAAGCAGTTTTTGTCAGGACATAGTACTTCGCTGCTGGAGTGAAATGTGGTTAATGTTAAATCACTTTATAGGCAGGGAGGGCAAATGTTCTGTAGACCACTGGGGTGCGGAGTACCTTTCTCCCTATCTGTGTACTTTGCTCTGTTTTCCAAAGGCTTCTTTTTCCTTTCTGTCCTTAATGACCTTCTCACTAGCTGGACATTTCTACCTCCAGCCTTAGAATATAAATGGTAAATATTGGCATGGAAGACTGCAGAAAGCAGATGTGAACCTAGTAGCCTGGGACACTAAATTAGTTATCAGTAAGCACATTTCCTTCTGATGCTTAATGTGATAATAAAGCCTTCTTTGTTCGGATGTGACTTACGCCTGTGCCTCAAGCTGAAATAATGCCTTCTTTCATTTGTTTTAAAACCCCCAAATATGAGGGAGGGAGAATAATCAAAGGCATGGCTGTAATACTCAAGTTTGGACTTCCCAGGGAGTCCAGTCGTTTCTCACACAGTCCCCACAATATGTAGTCCATTGAATGAATTCATCTCCACAGGTTCAAGGGAATTGCTGCTTCTGTTTTAGGTGTGTTATCGCTTTATTTTCTGTCATTTTAAATAGTGTCTGTGTGTTGGTCACTTTTCTGCAGTAAGCCATCACAACTCCAACCCCCCGCCACCCCCGCAACCGTAACTTAGGTTCCACATGGCAGTCAAAATGGCCAGAATTGTGCACGCTCAGCGCGCCCTCCGATGACTTTAGATCTGAGCTGACTCCAGGATCTTCACGGTGATGCATAGAACCTTAAGACCAAACCACACATGTCACCTTGAGGATTCACACCCCAGGGACTAGGCCTGTTGTTGCAAGATCTATAGTTCTAGGCCTTTGCCCTGGGGACTGAGTATAAGGGTCTTCATAAAGTTCTTGGAAAATGAGTATAGTGGATTTCGAAATGTCTTTGCACTAAATAAATTTGTACTTTTTTACACAAACTTTTTGAAGTCCCTACGTGTTAAGATGAAGTTTGCAGTTTTGCAGCTTGTGGGGGGCCTATATTTGAGAGGGTGGTGAGAATAAGGGAGGAACAGGTCGTTCTCCACCTGTGATGAAGCAGAGCGAGTGGCACAGGGTGGCAGGGTGGCAGCTGCCCACACGAGTGCTCTTTGTAGGGCTGCGTCTCTGAATCTGCTCCCAGATGTCCCCTGCCATAGTGCTTGTCTGTGGCACCCCATATTATACCATTCGATTAGAATCTTAGGAGCAGCTATTGGTATTGGCAGAAGATAGGAGCCCAGTTTGAGCACTGGGAGGAAACTCAGGAAGGAGGGACAGTTCTCATGAGCTTTTGCCCTTAAGCGTGGAATAATTGATCAGATAAGCTTATCTTCCTTAGGGAGGCACCCTGTTTAACCTGGGAGAGTTTTGATACTAGAATTGACGTGAGGGTGGGATGAATGGACAGAGGAGGGATCTGAGGATGGGATGGAATCATCAATGATCAGTGGAAGATGGTGATGGGAAGGGAAATTTGTTGGACGTTGGCCCTGTCTCCCGTTAGTCAACTGGTGTTTTAAAACATTGGGAAGCTACTTGATGGTTGATGTCTATTTTAAAAAGTTCTCCAAAAAGTAAAACCACACCAAACCCAAACAGACAAAATTCTTAAAAGGAAGCTAAATGAGACTCTACATTGCCCTCTTACCTATGTAAAAGTGAGAGGGAGCACAAAAGTCTATTTTGTTTAATGCAAGATTTTGCACCTTCTAAATAATATGTATTTTTTTTTCTTAGGTTTTTTTCCATAGGATGCATGCACTTACTGGAGAGAGGCATAGAGACAGCAAGAGGGAAGTGAGAACTTACCCCCCCTCAGTCAGGGGATACAGTGGGGTGGAGGTAGGGTGGGAATGGGGTCGGGATGGCAATCCCTTCTCCATTCTCTCCAGATTTGGAGCATGCAATATGTGCTTTGAAGAACTATTTAGGCAAATATTTAGTTCAGTAAGATAAACTCATGTATATTTAAGCTATTTAAAAAGTGGAAAGGGAGGGGCAGCAGATTGCATGGTAGTTAAGGTGGCTGGATCCCACGTGGGCAATCAAGCATTTTGAATCTCGGACCCAGTGGCTTATAAATTATGCCAGGCATGTGTGTGTGCATGCCCAAAATCTGGAAAGGAGAATGGAGAAGAAGGGATTGAGGAGTAGCCATACCCCACCCCTGCCCTCGAGGGTGATTTTTTGCTTTCTCTCTCTCTCTCTCTCTTTGGTGAGTGCGTATATCCTATACCAAAAACTGAAAAAATATATATGTATATGTATGTGTGTGTGTGTGTGCGCGTGTGTGTGTGTATATATATATATATACACACAAGTCTAACCTCTGTGACACAATTAGTAGCATGATGTAGGACTGAGGAGGTTGAAGCCACATTCTGGCTGTAGTTCAAGTCCGGACTAGTCTGGTCAGCCTGAAAATATGCCAGGCTTGTAGCCAGGATCCTGGCAAGCTGGAGGACTAAAGGAAGGGGATCGTGGCATGACAGAGCCCTGCGGATGGTGCTTCTCTCTCTTTCCTCTCTCTCTTTTTTTCTTTCACCCATGTACATGCTGTGTCATGAATTCCTGAAGTGTAAAGTGCTATGTATATGATTTAGGATATTTATAGGAAGCTAGATGTTTAGCTTTGTCTTACCAAGATCTTTTGTATTGTTTTGGTCTTTTGAAAACTTGGACTAGTAGAGAATTAATATTTTGCAAGTAACCTGTTAGTCTAAAAGTCCCTCCATTCCATTATCCCTCGTTATCAGAAGATATTCATTGGATGTCAGATTAAGGAATTCCGCCCAACCCTGATTAGAGCCTCTCAAATATTTATAGAATCTTGTTTGCATGTTTCCTCTTCAAAACATCAGGGATTTCAAGAAATCTCTTAAGATTAGTTGTTCTGGCTGACTTGTACACAGTCAGATATTTCCAAAGGAAACCACATTTTTTGAGTCACTA